TTTTTTCTCGAGACAGGTTTCTCTGTGGCTTTGGAGCCTGTCCTGGAACTAGCTCTGTAGACCAGGCTGGTCTCGAACTCACAGAGATCCGCCTGCCTCTGCCTCCTGAGTGCTGGGATTAAAGGCGTGCACCACCACCGCCCGGCTCAAGGCTTCTTTTTTGCTCAATTTTGTTAGTAACTATAGGCTGTCCTCTCTTAGCTACTTATATTTATACTTTATAATCAAAACTTTGGAAGAATGTAATTTATATTCCCCCATTATGCTAATCTCTGATTAGCATATTAATTAACCAAGAGTGTCCCCCATCTTAGGGTTAACTATTCTAAGCAAATTCATGAGGGTGTGTGTGTTTCTGTACGTGTCTGTTTTATGCATACAAACAACAGATACTCAATTTAAAAAATGACTGACTGGTTCCAGGTTACTTTTGAACTTTACTCAAAATAATGGCTATCATACAAATACTTAATTTGAATGTCCCTTGGTTTTTATGGTTTTTGTTATTTTAGGAATCAAATTCAAGGTCTTTCACGTGTTAGACCATTTCATTTTGTTTTATTATTTTATTGGACACTATAGTAACTTTAAAAAGCTTTTCATTTAGTAGGTAATTTTATACGTAACGTTTTCTTGGAAGTGCTTTAGCAATTTGTAGCTTGCTGATCAGAGGATCTTTGAGAGAGGAAATGTGAGAAGGAAGGAGTTATGGGGAACATTTTGACAACGATGGGTATTCTAGGCTGTGAGATGCATCATATATAAAGGGCATTCTGACCTAGTAGCATATGTTGACGATACCACTTTGTCCTGTAATCTTAGACAGGAGTGAGTGAAAGCCTACAGTGCAGGATTTGATACCTTCGCAAGCCTACGTGATGTGATTTTGACTTTCACTCTTAGTAGGTTGGAGTCTGTACCAGCTTGCTTTCTATTGGTGTGATAAAAGCCATAGCCAAAAGTAACTCAGTGAGGAAAATGTTTATTTGGCTCCATTGTTGAAGGGCAATTTAAGGTGGGAACCTGGAAGTTAAAACTGAAGGATTGCTGGCTACTGGCAGCATGCTCTGTCCATAGTGGGCTGGGCCTCCTACATTAATCCTTAATCAAGCAAACTTACTGCAACTGTGCCCACACTGTAATTTGATGTAGGCGTTTTCTCAATTGAGGTTCTTTTATTCCAAATTACTCTAGCTTCTGTCAAATTGTCAAACAAAACAAAAACCTTAACAAGCTCAGAGTCACTGGAAAATTTTGAGTTGTAGAATGGGCTTACTTTTTTTTTTTTTTTTTTTTTTTTGGTTTTCGGTTTTCGAGACAGTGTTTCTCTGTGGCTTTGGAGCCTGTCCTGGAACTAGCTCTGTAGACCAGGCTGGTCTCGAACTCACAGAGATCTGCCTGCCTCTGCCTCCCGAGTGCTGGGATTAAAGGCGTGCGCCACCATCGCCCGGCTGGGCTTATTTTTGAAAAGATTATCCTATTGATATGTGAAAACCCTCAATTCTTGGGAAAGCAATGGGAAGGGTAGGACAGTAGCAAGAAGAGTGGAGGAATATTAGTGTAGACTCGGGACACACTTTGAAACTATGCTTGGTAGTTGCTGATGGTTTCATCATAAGATGTGCTTTGGGGTAAAGTAAGTGTTTTGCCCTCACAGCAGTTGGCACAGTGGACTTGTCTTCTGTGAACATTTTGATGCCAGTGGAGCATTGCAGGATAAACTCTGAGGGTGCTTGGTTTGGAACAGTTGCTACTCATAAGCTATAGAATGTAGAACTGTCTATTGGGTTTGAGTTTCAGATTCATTTAAGGGACAGATGTAATATGTAAGAACTGCAGAATGACTGAAAACCTAAATGAAATAACTGAAAGGAGACTCTTGTTTGAAAGCCCTGAATGCTAGTATCAAAGAAATTGTTAATGTTATATTTGTATTATAATGTTTAGTTTGGAAAAAACTACAAGCTGACAGTGGAGCCTAAAGGACTTAGTGATGATTACGAGAAAAAACAGACACCAGGTGATAGTACTGACTAGAAGGCTGCATTCGGGGAGCAGCTTTAAGCAAAGGACTACCTCGATTTCAATTCTTTTTTAACTAATTCAGGCAATTTTAACTTGGTTTAATTTCATTGATGGTGGTGAAACTAAAGTGTGTCTGATAATTCTGTTTTTTAAAGCACTATTGTGTAAGTATATAATGTGTATGTGAGGGTAGGAACACGCATTCCATGACACACATGTGGATGTGAAAATGGCTTCATGGAGTCAGTTCTCTTATATGTGATTTCTGGGAAATGAACTCAGGTTGTTAGGCATGTGTGACAATTTTTTTTCTTAACCCACACATCATTCTCATTGGCCCATCATTTTACTATGTGTTCCTAATATTTGTAACACATATTCTTAAAGTTTGAGTAGTCTCTCTAATAAATAGACTTTGCCTCTAATTTTGTTTTGTTTGTGATTTGCTTTAGCTATGACACTTGGGTCCACTGTAATGATGTTGATGCTGAAATTGAAGATCCACCAATTCCAGAAAAGCCATGGAAGGTAATGGGTCTGTAAAACAGAAATTATTCTCGACTGGACCTAGTACATGCCTTTAGTCCCAGTACTTGGGAGGCAGATTCAGGCAGATCTCTGTGTGTTAAAATCTAACCTAGATGACCAGAACGTATAGAAAGACCTTGTCTAGAAAATAAAAACAAAGCAGCCAATCCACAAATTATACTTGAAACTGGAGGTGGCTGGGCAGTTAAAGAACTTGTTCTTGCTTAGAACCTAGGATCAATTGTCAACACCAGTGTTCTAGGAGATCTGACGCACCAGGCACACCTATGATACATAGACATCCATGCAGGCAAAATATTCTTACTAATATATGTGAATAATAAGTAAAGAAAATAAAAACATACACAAATTATTTTTACTACGGTAAATTTGTATTTGATAAACTGTTACTACTCTGGCTTATGCTATCCCTGACATTACTATGTAGTCCTTCCTGGCCTTGATTTTGTAATGAGCATCCTGCCTCGGAACCGTTAGTATTGAGATTACAGGAATGAGCCTGTGCCCAGGCTGCCACAGTGTTTTTAAAAGGGATGCATAATGATGGTCTCCTTTTAATGTCCTCAGTTTGAGAGAATATTCATGTCGCTGATGACTTAGTATCAAGGTTTTAGGAGTTCCTGAATGGTGTGTGCTTGAGAAGAATCCAAAGCCAGTGCAGAGTGTGTGAAATGTGGGTTGTGAAGTTCAGAAGGGGGGTGCCTTGAATGAACATCTTTCAACTTTGTTCCTGCCACCACGATGTCACCACCATTATGGACATCTAGCGCTCTGGAGTTATACTCCAATATAGACTTTTTGTTTTGTTTGTTTTTTTCAAGATAGGATTTCTCTGTGTAGCTCTGGTTGTTCTGGAACTCATGCTGTAGACCAGGCTGACCTGACTTAGAGAGATCCGCCTGCCTGTGCCTCCTGTGCTGGGATTAAAGGTGTGCACCACCACTGCTGGTGAGAGATGTTTTTCCAGAGCAGCAGTGAAAGGGTCTTTGTTTGTTCACACAGTCCAGCCTTGGTAACTTCCTGTTGATGATCTTCCTTCAGAAACACCTTTTTTTAAAAAAAAAAAAAAATTATTTATATATTATGTATACAACATTCCTTCCATGTATGCTTGCATGCCAGAAGAGGGCACCAGATCTCATTATAGGTGGCTGTGAGCCACCATGTGGTTGCTGGGAATTGAACTCAGCACCTCTAGAAGAGCAGTCAGTGCTCTTAACCTCTGAGCCATCTCTCCAGCCCCCAGAAACACCTTTATAAAACACATCTTTAAAAGTAGACCAGAATTCTTTTTTTTTTTTTTTTTTTTGGTTTTTCGAGACAGGGTTTCTCTATAGCTTTGGAGCCTGTCCTGGAACTAGCTCTGTAGACCAGGCTGGTCTCGAACTCACAGATATCCGCCTGCCTCTGCCTCCCGAGTGCTGGGATTAAAGGCGTGCACCACCATCGCCCGGCAAGAATTCATTTTTTAAAACATACAACTTGAGTGCTAGGCAGGGGGGTGCACGCATGTTTTTTTTTTCTTATTCCTATTCTAAATATTTGTCTCTTTCTATCTTTGAATAAGTATAGTTCTGGGACTTTCTCTTTGTTTACAAAATTGTGTGCCTATCAGAAATTTCCTATCCTTCATTAGATAATTATTCCTCTGGTGGGTTGGACCTTAGGAGTATTAGCTGTCATCTGCTGCGTAGTCCTGAGGACTCTGACAGAAAAGGAGGGAAATATCTAGTGTTAGATGATAATTGGGTCAATTTGATTGGTTTTAGGTTCATGTAAAATGGATTTTGGACACTGACGTTTTCAATGAGTGGATGAATGAAGAGGACTATGAAGTGGACGAGAACAGGAAGCCAGTGAGTTTTCGTCAGCGAATTTCAACAAAGAATGAAGAGGTATTTATTCTGCCACTATTTCTTGACCGTGTTTGCCTTTTCTTTTTTCTTCTCCATGTTTTCTCTCTTACTAAACTGCCACATGCACACCGCGAGACATCACCTACAACGTACATGTACAAGTTACTGAGTCATTAACAGCCAACTGTCATCCTGACAGAAAGAGAAATGGCAATCCGAGTGAATCATTAAGATTTAAAGTGGGCCAGATAGTATGGTAGTTGTATAGCTGGTTTCCTCCACCAGATTCAGCTTTTAACATTAATCTTGTAATGTATGTGGTGTTACATATGTATGTGCACTGATTTGTCATACATGGTATCTGGACAGCAGAAGAGCTGGGGCTTTGAAGCTGCATTGTGGGTGCTAGGAATTAAGTATCGGGCCTCTTCACCCTTGACCCACCTCACCAGGCCTAAATTGTTTTTTCAGTTAATTGCCGGGCAGTGGTGGTCCACGCCTTTAATCCCAGCGCTCAGGAGGCAGAAACATGCAGATCCATGGGTTTGAGGCCAGTGAGTTAAAGCTAGCCACAATTACAAAGTGAGGCCCTGTCTCTATAAACAAACAGAACCTCATCATTCATAGGATTTGGTGTCACAAAGAAAGTTTTGTAACCGTTGAGCATGTGTGACATCTAGTGAAGAGACCCGAGATTCTAAGATAATTCTCATCTGTGACTACTGGATTTCTTTTGCTTTTCTTATTTCCTTTCTGTTTTGTTGTTTAAACAAGTGTTTGCTGTGTAGTCTATTTAGCATGGAGTCCAAGCCAACCTGAATTGGCAGTTCCAGCCTCAGGCTGTCCAGTGCTTGGTATTATAAGTGTATTTCACTGCGCCTGGCTTGCTCCTTTTCATTTTATGTTTTCTTTGGTGTTTATATTTGTGTGTGTGTATAAAACCACTAACAGAAAATAGAGATAAATCTCATATCTGTTACCTTAATACTAAAACATCTTTTTCACACTTTATTTTGTTTATTTTTAAATATTTATGTTTTTGTTTTTTTTTAAAGGTTATTTTGTGTGTTTGGATGTTTTTATTTTTTATTTTTTTAATTTATTTAACTATGTTGCTGTGAAGGTATCAGATCCCTTGGAGCTGGAGTTACATATAGTGAGCTGCATGTAGGTGCCGGGAATTGAACTCGGGTCCTCTGGAAGAACAACCAGTGCTCTTAACCACTGAGCCATCTCTCCAGCCCCTTTTGCTTTTTTTTCAAGGACAGGGTTTCTCTGTGTAACTGCTATCCAAGAACTCACTCTGTAGACCAGGCTGTCCTTGGACTCAGAGAATCACCTGTCTGACTGGAATTAAAGGCCCTGCCCTCCATGCCTCACACTAATCTTGACCCTAATCTTTTTTTTTTAAGAACAAGTAGTTCCCATCTTGTTTACCTCTTTCACTCTTTCTTCTGAGCTGGGCTGCCCGACATAGACAGTGACTATCGTGTATTTCATGTTTACAAGTGTTTTTGTAGTGCCTAAGGAGATGTAAAGAGGGTATTGGGTTCTCTGGAACTGGAGTTAGGCAGTTTTGAGACCACATGTGGGTGTTGGGAACGGAACCAGAGTGTCTGGCAAAGTAGTAGCAAATACTCTTATCTCAGGTGTGTATCCAGCCCCCCAAAATTTTAAAATTGGGTCCTTATTATATTTAGCTTGTATTTGTTTTATGATTTGATAGTTAATAGAAAGTTTTAAATTTTGGACCTGTTCTGAGAAATATATATCTCCCTTAATACTTAATTTTTTTTTTCTTTTGCTGAAAATTCAGTCTCATCTAGGGCTTTTCAAATACTTGCAAACCTTCTGCCACTTTGGAACATTTCATCCTCAAAGTATTTTATTAGTTTTTTTCAAGGCAGAGCTTTCTCTGTGTTATTTTTGCTGTCCTGGAACTCACTCTGTAGACCAGGCTGGCCTCAAGCTCTTTTCTGCTTGCCTCTGCCTCCTGAGTTCTGGGATTATAGGTGTGCTCTTGCGTACCTAGCTTTAAGAGTAGACTATTTTATAAATGACACTTTTTTTTTTATTTTTTGTTTTTTTGAGATAGGGTTTCTCTGTAGCTTTGGAGCCTGTCCTGGAACTAGCTCTTGTAGACCAGGCTGGCCTCGAACTCATAGAGATCTGCCTGCTTCTGCCTCTTGAGTGTTGGGATTAAAGGTATGCACCACCACCGCCCAGCTTATAAATGACACTTTTTTTATATTTATTTATTATGTATACAATATTCTGTCTTTGTGTGTTTGCAGACCAGAAGAGGGCAGCAGACCTCATTACAGATGGTTGTGAGCCACCATGTGGTTGCCGGGAATTGAACTCATGACCTTTGGAAGAGCAGGCAATGCTCTTAACCACTGAGCCCATCTCTCCAGCCCTAAATGACACTTTAGACAGTGTTATTTGACCTTGTACTTTCTGTGTTCAGTAGCATGTTTTGATGTGGGTTGTTTCATTTATATTAATAGTTACCAAAATGCTTCTTTATCTGGGAGCACAAATATTGAGCACTGGTGTGTTTTGTATGGTTTAGTATGTCTTAGTTGTGGTATACTTTAAATAGGTGTGGAATTCTGGTGAGCATTTCAGTTTTGATCTATTGCCTACTGCAGTGGATCTCAACCTTCCTTATCCTGCAACCTTTTAATACGTTTCCTCATGTTGTTGTGATCCCCAACTATAAAATTATTTTTGTCGCTAATTGTTATTTATCATAATATAAATACCTGTGTTTTCCTATGGTTTTATGCAAACCCTTCTGAATGGGCCATTATACACCCCAAGGGTTTGTGACCCACAGGTTGAGAACCGCTCGCTTTGTGGATCAAGAAAGTTTTTTCTGTGCTGGTATTTGGTGCTTAGTATCGTTGCTTCATTTTCTGTGATCCAGTGTATGAAAAGTCACCTTTGGACACAGGTTTGTGGAAACTGAGGAATGACAAGTTGTCTGATTCCTTTTTTTATTTACTTCTTCCTAGCCAGTCAGAAGTCCAGAGAGGAGGGATCGAAAAGCATCAGCTAATGCCCGAAAGAGAAAACATTCCCCCTCCCCTCCTCCTCCCACACCCACAGAATCCCGGAAGAAGAGTGGGAAAAAAGGGTAAGATGTTTGTAGCATGTTTGGAAGTCTGTGAGAGAAAACTCTAGTTTTTATATTCATGTTGGAGTTTTGCCAAAAAATAATTCCTTTTGACTTTTTTGAAGTCTTTTACTTTGATAGCTTGTCTTTTAGCTTGTTTTGGTTATTGCATTAGAATTTTTTTATTTCTGATTGCATGCATGCATGTGTAGGTCCTCACCTTTTACCATGAGGGTAGGTTCCAGGATGGAGTTCATGCTGGCAGGCCATGTGTCTGAGCCATCCTTCCAACCTTACAGTTTTTACAGGAATCTTACATTTCGATAGTTTTTTTTTTTTTTAAAGATTTATTTATTTATTATGTATACAACATTTTACCTCCGTGTTTTGCCCACATGCCAGAGGAGGGTGCCAGATCTCATTACAGATGGTTGTGAGCCACCATGTGGTTGCTGGGAATTGAACTCAGCACCTCTTGAAGAGCAGCCGGTGCTCTTAACCACTGAGCCATCTCTCTAGCCCCCATTTCGATAGTTTTAATAGAAGTTTTACTTCTATAAAAATGCTTTAGAAAAACCATTTCTTTATACTTCTTTACTTTACATTTTTTTATACTTCTTTACTATACATTTCTTTATACTTCTATAAAAATGCTTTAGAAAAAACCATTTCTCCTTGTTGGTAAGTACATATTGGAAAGGTGTCAGGTAAGGAATCTAGAAATCATGTTGTGGGGCCGGGCTGTGGTGGCGCACACCTTTAGTCCCAGAACTCAGGAGGCAGTAGCAGGCAGATCTCCGTGAGTTCAAGGCCAGCTTGGTCTACAAAGTGAGTTCCAGGACAGTAAGAACTACACAGCAAAGCCCTGTCTTAAAAAACAAAATAGCAAACAAATAAAAAATGAAAAGAAATCATGTCCTGATGCGAGTGTTGGCCCTTGACAGGCAAGTGTAGGAGTGTTGATAAAGGTTTTAGGTTAGCCTTGTCTACAAAGCATATTCTAGGATAGCCTGGGCTTAATTTCGTGACACACCATAGCTATTGTCTGACTAACCCTCCCATATGTGTTTAAATGACTGACGTAGAACCTGTAACTGTTGAGTTGTTGGATGTCCTGACAGCCCAACAGCATTCCTGACAGTCTTGAGTGACAATTTGGGGTTTTTGTTTTGCTGTGTTGTGTTTTATTTGATTTTGTATTTTATTTTGTCTTTTTTAGGCAGGGTTTTTCTGTGTAATTCTGGCTGTCCTGGAAATCACTTTATAGACCAGGCTAGTCTTGAACTCAGATCTGCACGTATTTGCCTCCCAAGTGCTGGAAACAAAGGTGTGCACCACCTCCGCCCAGCATTAACTTTGACTTCTATTGAATTAATTGCTGATAATATAAAATGAAACTCTATTTGTATAAATACAGTGCCTGGAGTACAGATGATGATATATGGTAATTCTGTCATAAATAGATATTTGATAATTCAGACCTGCCTACTTTAACACACGTACATATATTTTGGTTGACTGGTTGGTTTTTCAAGACAGGGTTTCTCTTTGTAGCCCTGGCTGTCCTGGAACTCACTCTGTAGACAAGCCTGGCCTTGATCTCAGAGCTCAGCCTGCCTCTTCTTCCTGAGTGCTGGTATTAAAGGCGTGCAGCACTACCAGTATGCTTTGTTAAGTTAGTTTTGAGTCGGGGTATCTAGTCTTCTCTGTCCTTACCTCACTATGTAAGCAGGCTGGCCTCAAACTCACGAACATCTGCTTGCCTCTGCATGAAACAGGCTAGAGTCATTTGAGAAGAAGAAATCTCAATTAAGAAAATGCACCTACCAGATATCCCCGTGAGCAAGTCTGTTTTGCATTTCCTTTATTGATGTGTGATGTGGGAGGGCCACTGCTAGACTGGTGGGTCTGGGTGTTGGAGAGATGACTCAGCAGTGAAGAGCATTGACTCTTCTAGAGGTCCTGAGCTTAATTCTTAGCAACACAGCTCACAACTGTCTGTAGTGGGATCTGATGCCCCTTTCTGGCATAAAGGTGTACATACCGATAGAACACTTATACATAAAATATTTAAAAAAAAAAAAAAAAGACAAACAGGTTGATTTAGCTATCTAGTAAGCAGTGCTTCTCATGCCTTCTGTATCAGTTCCTGCCTCCAGGTTCTTTTTTTCTGTCGTGTATTTTCTTGATGTGTGTGTGTGTGTGTGTGTGTGTGTTGAGACAGTTTCACCATGTTTCTTAGGCAGGCTGAGAGCATCTTTCTGCCTTGCCATCCTAAGTGCTTCAGTTCTAGGCATGTGCCACCATATTGTGATGTAATGCTTTTTTGTTTGTATCACGCATGAATTGGGTGCTGATTCTGTCTTTTTTATAATTCCTCAAGTATGAAAATCCTTTCCGTCTTTATTTTCCAGAGTATTTCCAGAGTATACCATTTATTTTATAAATGGTAACTATTTAGAAAAAGAGCCTTGGTAGTTTTCATAAGGAGCATAAGGAGTTTTTAGTTTTTAATACTCGAATGATAACCTCAAGAAAATACAGTTGTCTGTTTTCTAAACCTTTTCATTTTATTGTGTATAGGATCGTATTGTGAGAGAATGCTGTATTTTTTTTTTAGCAGGTGTTCTTTTATATCCTCATGAATAGTTGGATGACTGTTCCATTTCTTAACCAGTTGCTTAGTTTCAGCCTTATTTGATGTTTCTTGAGTCAGGTATCTAATTTGTTTGATTTTTTTTTAAAGTAATTCTGAATATAAATAATAATTTAGAACTTCAAATATTTTGCTAAAAATATCTTTAATTGCCCTTTTTCTGCTTTGTATATATCAGACAAGCTAGCCTTTATGGGAAGCGTAGAAGTCAGAAAGAAGATGATGAACAAGAAGATCTTACCAAGGACATGGAAGACCCAACACCTGTACCAAATATAGAAGAAGTGGTGCTCCCTAAGAACGGTTGGTTTTCTTCTGCCTAACGCTGAGTGGTGCCTGTCACTTCACAATACAACTTGTAATGTCATGTTCGGTGTTCTTCTTTTAGTTTGTGAGATAGCACCTTTCTGTATAGCCCTGGCTGTCCTAGCCTGGAATGCACAGAGATCTGCCTGCATCTTTCCACATCCTGAGTGTTGGGCTTGTGCCACTCTTCTCTTACCTTTTAATATGAATAGATTTTCTTCTATAAGTTTTAAAATATTCTCACTTTCTCATGTTACTTATGGGCTATGTTACAATTTTTGTGATTTCTTTATTGATTAGATATACCAGCTACATAAATTTAAACCTAGCTTTTGTATAGTATTGTGTAGTGAAGAGGCGAGCAGGCCTGATTTTCGTCCCACCCGGTTCCCGCACAACTAGCTTAGCCCCCCACATTTGTTGTTTTTTGCCTGCCTCTGCCTCCCCAGTGCTGGGATTTTAAAGCTATGTGATACCACACCAGTGTTTTTTGAGACAGGGTTTCTCTGTGTAATAGTCTTGACTGTCCTGGAACTTCCATTTTAGCCCAGGCTGGCCTTGACTTCACAGAGATCTGCCTGCCTCTGCCGGATTGCTGGGCTTAAAGGTGTGTGCCACCAATACCTTTTTAAAGAGAAATTCCAGAATGTAAAAACATGCTAATGGTTAATACACCAAAGTTTTGGGAGAAGGGATGGAATATCTTGGATTGATAAGTTCACTTTTCTGCATTTGTAAAATAGAAATATATTCTATTTTAAGTGATTAATAATAGAATTGTAGAAGCTTGGCAGGTATTTTATTGTCTTGAGGCCAAGCCCATGATTTTGACATGAAATTGAGTAGTGAACTCCACTGAGGTTATAGTGATACCCATATGTATTCTGTTCTCTCATGTTGTTTGTACTTTTTTGCTTATTTTATGGTAATGGTGTTTTGTCTGCGGGTGTGTACCACACAGGCCCAAGGAAGTAAGGGGGTTTCAGATCATTTGGGATTACTGTTACTCTGAGACTCTTGCTCTTCATTGCTTAGCTGTCTTTTCAGCTTCTCACTGTATATTCTTAAAATTGAGTGACTATTCCCTTTAACACATGATTTTTCCTCTTCTAGTAAACCCAAAGAAAGACAGTGAAAACACACCTGTTAAAGGAGGCACAGTGGCGGATCTAGGTAAAGAAACCATATACAAATGCTTTCTCTTGACTATGTCTGAGCCTTCAATCCTGCTTACTTTACTGCAGATTGTTACTTTTGTGTGCTTTGTTTACTACTGTCCAGGGTTAACCAACAGTCTTCTTACTGTCATCTTTGATTTTCTTACCATGATTTGTTGTTTGTGTTCCCAGTGACCTCCAGCTGATAGTGCATGGCATTTTCTCATAGACTAGCAAAAACTTGGCAATATTTTATTTTCACTTGAAAATAGTTTTCACGGGTGGTGGTGGCGCATGCCCTTAACCCTGGCTAGATTTTTCTTTTTATAATCAACATTTATGCCTTAGATTTTCTGTACTCAGTAAATATCTACATTTTTTTTTTCTTTTTTAAAAGCTGAAATTTTACTGTGTGTTCAAGACTGGCCTTAAACTCAGGATCTTCCTGCAGCCTCTCTACTACTGGGGCTAGAGAACTGCCATCATGCCCGCTCAGTCACTAGTGTTTTTTGCTCTCTTCCTTACCCTGGAATCAAGAAAACCATTTGCCCTTACCCATCCTTAGGATACTGGTGCTTCAGTCACATCTCTTACATGTTAGTCAACAAGATCTTGCTGTGATGCTATGATTATGATAGCTGGTAAAAATCAAGTTTTTATTTGTTGATACGTTGATAGGTCCTTCCATCTCTACATATTTGTGTAAAATGATCGTTTATTTATATTGAATATTTTTATGATGATTTGTTTTATTCATTTTCTTTGTCCAGTATTAGTTTTGAAGACTATAAAGATTCCACATAATTCAAAATAGTATTGAGTGATTATTAAAACAACTTGTTTTGATTTTGCAGATGAGCAGGATGAAGAAGCAGTTACAACAGGAGGAAAGGTAAAAGTTCATTGTTTCTGTTGGTCATGTATGTGCACTGAGCAGAAACAGAATTTTCTGTTTCCAAACTTACCTGGATCTGAGAATGTCCTTGAATTGCTGATCCTCTAACCTATCCCACCTGACTGCTGGTAGTATCATGTCAGTTCACGGAACGGGGAATGTGTCTGAGGGGCTGTGTACCTTATGGAAAAGGCACCCACTACCTCATCCCTTAGCCCATTCATTCCTCTTCTTTTGACAGGGTCTCCAGTTTTTGCTCAGCCTGGCCTGATTCTTGCTTCAGTGAGTGGGCTGTCCTGATCTCCTAAGTAGTTGAAATCAGGGCATACACTACTGTACCTCATTTTTTTTTCTTTTTTTTTGAGACATATCTTCAAACTATTGTTCAGTTGGATTTGACCTTGAATCTCATGGCTACTTTTTAGGATTACTGTCATTAGACTGCATCCAGTTAAATTTCCTTTTTCATAATTTAATTTCTGAAAATAGTTTTTTTTTTTTTTTTTTTTGGGTTTTTTGAGACAGGGTTTCTCTGTGTTTTTGGAGCCTGTCCTGGAACTAGCGCTGTAGACCAGGCTGGTCTCGAACTCACAGAGATTTGCCTGCCTCTGCCTCCCGAGTGCTGGGATTAAAGGCTTGCGCCACCATCGCTTGTTTGTTTTTGAGACAGGGTTTCTCTGTGTAACGGTTCAGACTGTCCTGGAACTCGCTTTATAGACCAGGTCGGCCTTGAGATCATCCTGCCTCTGCCTCCCAAGTGCTGGGATTAAAGTCTTTTCCCAAACAGGCCGACAATATGCATTTTGCTTTATAATAAAAAAATGTATTGAAAAAAATCTTAGTGTTTTCGAAGGTTCACCCTCATGTAGTGTAATTTTTAATTTTATTCTTTTCTATTTCCAAAGTAGTAATCACAATTTACTACATTGCTGTTGGTATGCCAATGGATTCAGATGGGTAGTGCACCATGTCTTGCCTTGATTTTCTCACTTTTCTCTTTGTACAGGTGTAATGTAGATTACAACTAAGGCAGACTCATTTAACTTTTCTCAAGCTTTAATTTTAATTTTGGACAGATTTATTTGGGGGGGGCAACACAGATTCATTTTTTAAGCCCCGTGTGTGTGTGTGTGTGTGTGTGTGTGTGCGCGTGCGTGCGTGCGTGCCTGCCTGCCTGCCTGCCTGCCACACTGTTTTCAGTTGCCCATGGATACCAGAAGGAGTTTGATCCTTTGGAATCTGTTAGGTACTACCAGATATGGGTGCTGGTCACCAAACTTAGGTCATCTATAGGACAGCAAAATGCCTTTAACTCCTGAGGCATCTTATTCCCCTCAGACTTTCTGATCACCCGCTTTCCATTCACCAGTTCTGGTGTAGAGACCAAGCATGGTGATGCTGAAAGGTGTTAGGTGTGAGGTAGGACCTTCCTCTTTTTAAAGGGGGATTGGCGGTTCCAGTCAAACTCTCAGGTTTGATTATAATAATTTTCTAGTATTCCTGGAATTCTTAAACGTTCCATTTGCTTCTGTGAATCCTGCGGCTAAAGCTGTATACCACCATGCTTAGCAATATGTACAGTTAGCATATAAGTTTCTTTGAATGACTTTTACTTGCTAAATATACTTGTAATAAATTGCTCCAAAGTAACATTTAACATTACATTGATTTGTTTTATGTATCTATGGGAAGATTTGTAATAAGATTTAGATATTATTTATTGATAGGTACCCTTTTTGTTTGTTTGTTTGTTTTTGAAATGGTTTTTACATAGCCTTCTCTGTCCTTGAACTCACGGTGTTGACCAGTTGGCTGGATCTCAAACAATATCCAAATGTCTCTGCTTCCCAATTACTGGGATTTAAGGTTCAGTAGGGTTTTTTTGTTTGTTTTTTAAGACACTGTCTCATATATTTGAGGAAAAGGCTTTCCTCACATTTACTGTGTGACTGACTCCTAATTTTTCCATCTTTATATCCTGATCGCTGGGATTCTAGGTGTGTGTTACCATAACCAACTCATGTAACTTAAATTTGAAAGAGTGAGATATGGCTGGTGTTGGCAGAGTTCAGGGCCATCTTGGTGTACATATTGAGTTCTAGGCCAGTCAGGCCTATACAGCAAGGTTCTTCCTACTCTCCCCCCAAAATATAGAATGACTCTTTTTTTAAAAAATATTTATTTATTTAATATACAATATTCTGTCTGCTTGTATGCCTGCAGACCAGAAGAGGGCGCCAGACTTCATTACAGATGGTTGTGAGCCACCATGTGGTTGCCGGGAATTGAACTCAGGACCTTTGGAAGAGCAGGCAATGCTCTTAACCACTGAGCCATCTCTCCAGCCCCCATAGAATGACTCTTTTAATAAATCAGTGTATTTGTTTTCTTATTGTAATTGTTGTGATCAGTGACTTTTCTTTGTTTTTCTTGAGGAAATACTAATTGAGGAAGGACACTCTTACACAAGGTTTAGACACAAATATGATGAGAGGTTGATAATTTCCCCAGAATTTACTATATAGACTAGATCCTTCTCAAACTGAAATTGCTTTTGTCTCTGCCTCCTAAATTCTGTGATTGAAGGTGTGTGCCACCATACCTGGCTTCCATCATATGTACACTTAACGCTAATCATGAATAGTCAATTGGAGGCTTTTAGATATTTTCTGAATGTTTGGTCTATCTTCTTTGGAAATTGTCAGGCATGCTGACATGGCTTAGCTGATAAAAGCAGTTGCCGTGCAGTCTTCTGAACACATGTAAAGGAAGAAGTAGAAAAACTGGCTCTATAGTTAACCTCTGACCTTCATACAACATCCACTCCAAAAAATAACATGAAGGCCAACAATTCAGACACCTACAAGAGGTGACTGCCATTTGTAAAGTGTAATCTGAGATAATCAGTGAAGTAAGTTTCTGAGATCCTCAGACCATGTCATTATAAACTCATCTGATCATTTAAATTGGATATCTGATGCAGTAGCATTGGAACAGGGTCTCAATATTTAACACAGGCTATGTGTGTGTTGTGTATGCATTCAGTTTTGAGAGAAAACATTGGGGGAGTTGCGTCTCCTAGATGGGGGACTGGGACTACTCTACAATATATGCCTTTTAGTTGCACTTCTTGGATGTGTGTTATGCTCATAACTTACTACTTCTGCCTGTTTTTCTACAAAAACATTTAGTTGCTTTTGTAACTCTTGAATCGTTATGAGGAATCAACTAGTTTTGGTGTTTAGGGCTATTAACAGGCACTTCTGTTTTAGTATTTGGAATAGAAGCAATCTTATTATGCTTTGTTAGAATCTTTCCCTTTTTGTAAGTAATGTAAAAATTAAGTATTGATTTATTTACTTTCTTAAAACCATTGTGAAGGACTTTAGAGACATCACATTTGCTGCTCTTTGTCGAGTACTCTGATTCCCACCACCACGTGGTGGAGCTCATAACTGTAGAGTTAGAGGAACTGATGCCCTCTTCTGGCATCTCTAGATGTACATGCTGGAATACACTTAAAATAACAGTTTCAAAAACTGAAAAGCTCTTGTGAGAAAAAAGATTTGGTACCTGTTAATTCTTGATTATGAAAGTGTTTCTTTTTTAAAAAAAGTTAATTTGAGTGTTCTTTTATTTTGATAAAAGAAAAAATAAAGTCTATTGTTGGTGCACTGCTTTTATCCCCTCAAAAGTAAGACAGATCTGTGCTTGAGAACTGTTTTCCTCCTCCCTCCAGTTGGCTCCACTATCTTCATTTTGTTTGACCTAGTATTTGCGTGATTTGTCTGTAGTTTTTTCTCTGAGCTAGCTTGTCTTTCATATTTTTATAGGAAGATGAGGATCCTAGCAAAGGTGATCCTAGTCGGTCTGTTGACCCAGGTGAAGATAACGTGACAGAACAGACCAATCACATCATTATTCCCAGCTATGCATCCTGGTTTGATTATAACTGGTGAGTGGGCTTTACCCGCCTGAGGGGTGGGAATGCTGATATTCAAACTGGTTTGTACAAAGTTCACTTCTGAGTCACCGTGAATAAAGAAGATGGGCGGCGGTTTATTTATTTAATTATTACATATTCTTAGGTTTTGTTGTTGTTTTTTGTGTGTGTGTTTCCTCATCACTGTGCAGTAGTTTTTAAGCTGTGGGTTATGACCCATTTGGGGTTGCATATCCTCAATAGCAGATATTTGCATTATCATAACAGCAGCAAAATAATGTTATAAAGTAGCAGCAAAATAAGTTTACGATGGGGATCACCACACAGGAGGCACTGTATTAAAGTGTCATGGCATTAGGAAGGTTTGAGAATCACTGTGCTATAGGTTCTTGTTTTGTAACCCAGGCTGGCCTCACTTTTGCAATTTCTAGGTTGGGTCTTAGTCCCTCTTTTTCCTTCTTTGTTTTAAAATTGTTTAAAAACAACTTAGAAGTAAAAGTTGTTTTAAATACAAAGTGTCATAGATCACTGATTTGTTATGTAATTAATACTTAGCATGTTGTCTCTCTGGAAAGCTTTCTTTGGAACCCATATGTCATCACACATACCACACACACAAATACACACATACATCAGTAACCGAAATCTGGCTACATAGTCAATTCACATAGAGTTTGCTAGGCCTAATCTTTTTTTTCTTTGACTCTACAGTGTTTCTGACCTAAAAAAAAAACCTTAAAAATTATCAGATATCTTTATATATAGTTCCTCAATAAGAGCTGACAATCCTTGACATATTTTAGTTCATCACAGTTTTGAGGGCTAGAAGAAGACAAACTGGTGTTGAGGAATCTATTATAATTTCCAACTCTCTGATGACTTCGTTGTGTGGCCATACTTATTACTCTGAGTTTTGTTAACCACTTTCTGAAGAAATCTTATCATTTTGTGCCATTTTGTTGCCATAATGTTATAGAAAAATGAAGTAATAAAATTTTTATTTTCCTCATAATTTTTGTTTCTTTTTGAAACTAGGCCTTGAGTTATGCCCCAGGCTATTATCAGACTTTTGTCAATCTTTACTGTTTCTCAATTGTTGGTGGTATAGACTTGAGCCACTATTCCAATAGAAGTTTTTTAGTTAATTTAGACAATAGAAAACTAAGAGGGGAAAAAAAAGAAAAAGAAAAACTACGATGTGTTATATGGGTCACAGATTCACAACCTTTTAACTGTGTTGTTTCTTCTTACATGTAATAGAAATTGTCCAAACTAATTTTAGCAGGAAGTACTCAGTTTTTGGATTTATTACTTTCCCTTTGAAAATTGAGTAATGCATAGCTCAAATTTTAAGATTTAATTCTTAAAAAAAAAAACCAATCTCAATCTCTTTTCTTTCAGTATTCATGTGATTGAACGGCGTGCTCTTCCTGAGTTTTTTAATGGGAAAAACAAATCCAAGACTCCAGAAATGTGAGCTTAGTGTTTATAGCACTTTAATGTTCATAGCATGGATTTGTGACTTTAGTTTTATGTAGATGAGTGTTTTGCCTATATGTGTATTTATGTGTATCGTCTGAGTGCAGTGACTGTGATGGCCATGAGAGGGCATTGGGTCTCCTGAAGCTGGAGTTAAAGAAGGCTTTCTTTAACTGAGCCTTCTTCCCATCCTTCCTGATTGTAAAGTCACAATTCTCACTCAGTTGTTACTGTTGTTTTCTTTTGTTTTTTGTTTTTGTAATTTGCAAATAGTGTGTATACCACTCAGAAATTATTCATATCTTATTTCTGTACCATTATTACTTCAAAGGAACTTGTAGTTTTTCTTCTTTCCAAACTTCGTATTATATGTATATCAGTTCTAGCATTTAAATATTAAATCTAGTAAATGGTGTTTAATTGAGGTTTGTCATAGTAGCCTTTAATTGTTTCTATGGGTTTTACATGCATTTACATATAATGGTCTGATGGGGTATAAAATCTTTATCCCCATGGTAAATTATATAGTTCCATCTAGCTGCATTTGAATTGGGTTAAATTTCCTAAAGCATTGCTTTTGCAACAGAATTGAAAGAAACTAAGGGCCTGGAGAAATGGCTCAGAGGTCAAAAGCACTGGCTGCTCTTCCAGAGGTCCTGAGTTCAAGTCCCAGCAACCACAAAGTGACTCACAACCATCTGTAATGAGATGTAGTGCCCTCTTCTGTCATGCAGGTGTACACGCAGGCAGATTATTGTATATATAATAAATAAATACATTTAAAAAATAAAGCAGTTTGAAAATTTAAAAAGGAAACTGGAAGGAAGTTCCTTGTCAGGAAGCATTTTTGTCTTTCTTTGGACCCATTGGCATGTATTTCTGGAAATTTGTTTTTGTTGGCTCTTTTTTGTTGTATTTGTTTGAGATCAGTCTCACTACATAGACCAGGCTAGACAGCCAGGGCTACACAAAGAAACCGTGTCTTGGGGGGACAAACAAACCTTGTTGGTAGATGTCACAATCCTTAACATTTTGAATTTTTAAAAAGCATTTGTGACAGAAATACTGCAGTAGTATACTTTGGAATCTTCTGTGACATTTAGTCTCAGAAGTTTTTTCTTGATTTTGTTTGCTTTTATCTTGTCTTGAAGTTGATCTCTTTGGTTGGTTGTCTGGCTATGACTTCCAGAATGGATGGCCCTGAGAAAGCATATTATTATGTCCAGAGCCAAGTCCTTGGGTGGAAAGTAAGGGTGGGTCATTATTGAGAGCACAGGCTGAGATGCCTTGAGTTCTGGTCTTCTCACTTTCCGGCCCTCAGTCCCAGGCTGCTTTTTAAATGCTCTGTGAAGTAATAGAAGAATCTGGGTATCAGGTGAACAACTTCACAGACAGTGTGGAGAACACTTAGCAACCAATCTTGTTACAATTTACTATACATCTTATTGCTTCTGAATTTATTAGAATTATTAATATTTTAATACAATATCAGTGTTGTTTAACATTGCCATCATTTTTCTTTGTTTCTTTTGCCTCTGGTTGTCAAAGATTTTAAGTTTTGGCTTTGGGAATCCTTTATCTGAAAGACACAAATTTACCTTATAAATTTTGTCCTTTTTTTTTTTTAAGATATTTGGCATATCGAAATTTTATGATTGACACATACCGTCTAAACCCCCAAGAATATTTAACCAGTACTGCTTGTCGGAGAAACCTGACCGGAGATGTGTGTGCTGTGATGAGGTACGTGTTTGGTGTTCTGTTCTCCAAGACTTTCGAGCTTCGTAGCTCTGTAGATCTACCTGATTCTGTATTTTTGTTACTTTCCTTTATGTGTCTCATATGTTCCCGTTTGAGCTTGAAGTCTGATGGGAGGGTTCAACTCTTGTGGAGCAGGAGCTATAGGCAGTTAGGAGTAGCCCGGTACGGATGCTGGGAGACAAATTTGGGTTTTCTGAAAGAGCTTGACTGGCTCTTGTCCTCATCTGACCAGATTACCTGAATACCTTTTTCATTGCACTCAAAAGTATTCTGCCTTTTTAATAGTTATTTTAGTAATTTGTTCCTGGACTGGCAGCCTCCAAATCATGACCTGGAGACTTATTAATTATGTGCTCGGCCATAGCTTAAGCTTGTTCCTTTTTGTTTGTTTGTTTGTTTATTGTTTAGCTTTATTGTTTTTTCACATTTTGAAATTTTTAATTATCTCCTTTTCCCCCTGTTCTTCCTTAATTATTGCTTAAACAAAGCTCTCCAGATTCTATCATTAGCATGGTAGCAAATGAAGTGTTAGTAGCCATGTGCCCTTTTTACTGTTTTATCTGAAGCTTTAGTCAACATTTTCATCCAACTGATAGACTCAAGACGTAGGCCTCTTTTAAAACATCCACTCTCAAAGAAGTGAAAATGATTACAAAGAAAAAAAAACGGGGAATGAGAAAATACACACTTCAAGAGTCGAGTAAATACAAGCAGTAATTAACTTGGGGAATAAGCAAAGTTCGCACTCTCCATAGCGGGTCCGCCCGCGGGGTAGACGCAGGCGTTGGGGGGGTGTTATGGATGGATGGATATGCTCAGGCCTCCCTCCCTGCCAGCGTCCCGCTTACCCTGCTGGACGCAGCATCCCTGCGCTCCGTTCCGCGTTCACGGGCCAGCCGACCAACGCCGCCGGAGAAAGAACAGCAGAGATGCAGGCGAATCGCTTCACTTCCTGGCTGCAAGGCCGCCATGGCCCCAGCGCACTAGATTGAGCGACGCACGTCAGCTGTTTAGCTTTATTTTTATTTTTTATGTGTATTGGGATGAAGGGTCTCAGATTTTTTTTATAATCTCCTGGAATTGGAGTCACATATAGTTGTGAGTGCCATGTGCGTGGTGCGAGTTGAACCTGGGTCCTTTAGAAGGGCAGTCCCCCAGTCTTGTTTCTAGCTAGATTTTTTAAACGTCAATCAACCCAGTATCTTGAGTCTGTGCTGCCCTGAGGGTTATTCACCTCATCTGTATAGTGTCCACCCCACTTTCCCGTTTCCTTTGTGTCTGTTTGGCTCTCAGTTGGCTGGCAGGCGCCCGCTGTTGACCATTCAGCTTTTTAAATCAATCAGGCACCTTAGACTATGTAAAAGATGAACACACTTCACATAGTTAACAAATACTCTGTCTCACCACGCTGTCGCATAGTTTATAGCTTTTGATTTGTAGTCAGATCATAAATGACAGGGGATTGGAGTGGGGAGTGTATATACCGTCCCAGGAAATTGGGATTGTCTTCTGAATTTGGTCAGAGAATGACTTTTTTTTTTTTTTTTTAATTTTATGTCTGTGTGAGGATGTCAGATCTTGGGGTTACAGACAGTTATTAGCTACTATGTGGGTGCTGGGAATTGAACCCGGGTCCTCTGGAAGAACAGTCAGTGCTCTTAACCACTAAGCCATCTCTCGAGTGCCGAGAATGACTTTTTTTATTTTGGCCTAAAGAAGCATTTGTTAGTGTTTCAAATTTGTGAATAAAACTATTATTTGAGGGTGCTGGCAGTGAACGCCTTCAATCTCAGCACTTGGAAAACAGCCATACAGGAGTTTGTGTATTCAAGGCCAGCCTGGTCTTTATAATGAGAGGTGCCAGGGCTACATTGTAGTGCCAGCTCAAAAATAAAACAAATATCCACAGTTACTCTCCCTCAAACAATCAAGATGCTTGGATGCCGAACATGTGTTCTTTATTCTAGTTTTTATCAAGTGCATGATTATGGGTTCACAGATAAGATTGCTTCATTAGATTGTAATGTACAGAACTTTCATCTTTCAGGGTTCATGCCTTCTTAGAGCAGTGGGGTCTTGTTAACTACCAAGTTGATCCTGAAAGTCGACCCATGGCAATGGGCCCTCCGCCTACTCCTCATTTCAATGTGTTGGCTGACACGCCTTCAGGGCTTGTTCCTTTGCATCTTCGGTCACCTCAGGTAAGTTAGGTTTTTTAACTCTTGAGGTCTACCTTTCATTCGTGATGTGATTGGAAGTTCTTATTCTGGTGATGGGGTTAATTCCCCATCTAAGTGCTGTTTCTTAGCTGATAGTTTTGGAATTGTATATCTTGGTTTTCATTTCTCCAAATGTAAAAGTTCAGAATGGTGTGAATATGTAATGTTCAAGGTAATATTGCGCCACCAATTCTGAGACATTATACTATGACGTTACCAAAGTTTTTGTTACTCTTTAGCTCTGTATCCCTTTGCCACTAATGTCACTAGTAAATACGCAGACAGTAAACAAATTTGTCATTTAGTGTGTCTTGGAAGCGTACATTTTAGAACCTTTATTAATAATTACTAAAGATTTCAGAAAAATATATACATTGTTTTTGGAAGACTAGTGAGTATATAAAATTAATAGTAGGATTTCATACTGTATTTCCTCTTCATTGTGAGAGTGAGTATTTCATTTTATGAGGAAAATTTCCTCTTTTCTTTGACTTAAGGAGCACCAAAAATACCTTTTTTTTTTTGGTTTTGGCTTTTTTCAAAACAGGGTTTCTCTGTATCTTTGGAGCCTGTCCTGGAACTAGTTCTTGTCGACCAGGCTGGCCTCGAACTCACAAAGATCCTCCTGCCTCTGCCTTCCGAGTGCTGGGATTAAAGGCGTGCGTGGCCCCCACCACCTGGCTGTTTTTTGTTTTTGAGACGGGGTTTCTAAGTAGCTATGGAGTCTTGGAACTCTGTAGACTAGTTGTGACCTTGAAGTCACAGAGATCTGACTACCTCTGCCTTCTGCTGGGATTAAAGGCTCGAGCCGCCACCACCTGGCAATACTTGTCTTTTTGATGGTGAGTTAATTACCAGTTTACTGTGGAGCTATATTTGTGTTGTTGTTGTGGTTATTTGTGGCTTGACCCAAAGTGGGTTTGTGTGTGTGTGTGTGTGTGTTATTTTTTGAGACAGGGTCTCACTTTGTAGCTCTGACTGTCCTGGAACTCACTTTATAGACCAGGTTAGCCCTGACCTCACAGAGATCCACTTGCCTTTGCCTCCCGAATGATGGGGTTAAAGGAGTGTATCACTGCCCTCAGCTAAGATATTTAGGAGCCAATGTTGACTGGAGAGATTGCTCAGTGTTTAAGCGCACTGACTGCTCTTCCTAAGGACCCGCGTTCAGTTTTCATCATCCGTGTGGTATCTCACAACTGTCTGTGACTCCAGTCATAAAACAAACCAAAATCACCCCAAAAACTTTTATTCCCTTAAATTTGAACAGATTAATACAGTCATTTGCCATTTATCTGCCTCATAGGTCCCTGCTGCTCAACAGATGTTAAACTTTCCCGAGAAGAACAAGGAAAAACCAATTGATTTGCAGAACTTTGGTCTTCGAACTGACATTTACTCCAAGAAAACACTGGCAAAGGTAAAGACTTTTATAAACCCACATGGACCACCACTTGCATGTGTCTTTTTATAAATCTCTGATAGGAGCCAGCAAGGTTTCCACTGATGTCAAATGCATTGCAATAGTCACGTATATGATTAACAGAGGTTTAAAAATAATATGGGTAGTATTTTATGAGGACAATACAATTTGAAAAGTAAATTAGAATATACATTAAGAATCTGGCGTTAGCATTGTGAGCCTCTGAGTTGATTCAACAGATTATTCTGATTTACAAAACAGGTTAGTGAGCTTAAAGCCCTGGTTACACACTGAGCCAATGAGAAAAACAACAACTGGACAGTGGTGGAGAAAGGACAAAGCAATACAAACAAAGTGCAGGAGACATGTTGTCAGCAGTCAGAAGAATTTATCAGTGGAAGAGCAACAAAGGGAGGACTAGGTGTCTTAGGATTTTCTTTGCGGTGAAGAGACCCTGTGAGAGTATGGGGGCCAAGTACACTGAAATTCCGACATTAGGATTGATAGATTAACTGTGTAATGGTTAACACATTTAGAGGCTGTCAAGATAGCTTAGTGATTCCAGGAGTTGCAATCTAGCCTGACAGCCTTAATTCAGATCTCCAGCACACACATAACAGTTGCATTTGGCTTTGTGGGAGCCTAGGCAGTTTGGATGCTCACCTTACTAGACCTGGATGGAGGTGGGTGGTCCTTGGACTCCCCACAGGGCAGGGAACCCTGATTGCTCTTAGAGCTGACGAGGGTGGGGGACTTGATTGGGGGAGGGGGGGAATGGGAGGCGGTGGCGGGGAGGAGGCAGAAATCTTTAATAAATAA